GGATTTTTTATTTCATGTGTTTTCTATGATTTTGTTGTTTTTGTTGGTTTGTCCTTTGTTTTGCTATATGTGTGATATATGTTGCGTTTTTTCGTCAGATTGTTTCGGTTTTGATTCAAAAACCGAAAAAATCCGTACATCACATGCTGTATTCGTGATTTTATGTTTTTTGGTGTTTTGTTTGAGCCAAAATAAGCCTCCTCTCTCTCTCTCTTCTTCTGGGGTTTAGGGTTTAGGGTTTAGAGTTTGAAAGAAAAGGCGGGCAACAATCCGACACTTTGAGACTTCTGCTGTCTCACGGATAGGAAGAGCCGACGCCGGCAAGTTCAAAACCCTGCCAAACCTAAAACTAAAACCCCAAAGTAAAACCCTAAACCCTAAACCCGAGGGCACACCTGTGTCCGGAACTTCTCGGCAAAAGCGTCTGTGTTGAAGTCGTCCACCTGTCACGCACACATTAGCCGTTCTTAAGTTTGGGGTTAGGGTTAGGGTTTAGGGGTGAGATGCAAAGCCGAGACTGCCACAAACTGGTCTCGAATCTGCCGGCACATCGCACTGCCCATGTTTTCAAGCACCACGCAAGAAGCACCTGTGCACTGTGCCCTCCTGCGGTTCTGCCGTCAAGCTGTGCTGACTTTCCTATTGTCTCCACGAGTTTTTTATGTTACCTTTACTTTGTAGAAGATAGAAAAGTCGCCTCGCGATCTGCGTTGTTCGTAACAACTACTTCTGTGAAACAACAATCGTAGCACCGTCAGACAAGCCCTTGCAATTGCGAATGTGTGTGTTAGCTGGTGCCAACAAGACCTCACCGGATGTCTTCACCGTCAGCTTCTGCATCTTTGGATTGATTCCCGCACGGTAGGCAATGGTGACCTTCAAGTTGCTCATGGGGGCGTGGACACTGATTGCTTCCGTGAAGGTATTCGTAACACCTTCTTTCGTGTGCTCGATGTGTAGCGTCATCATCTTAGGCTTGTCCGTTGCCACACCAAGCTTAGTGAGCTTGTCCTTGAGCATCGCGATGTTTTTTTCGGCTATGGTCTTCTGGCCCTTGATGTTTTTAATCTCATCCTCGTGCTCCTTAGTGGCGACATCGCACTTCTCTTTCAGGAAAGTCATGCGGTCTAACTCTTCCTTCAGCGTGTCAACATCAAGGTCGTCGTCAAGGGTGATGTAGGCTTCGACGGTCGGCGCTTGGTGTAGCCCGACATGATGAAGCACGGAGAAGGCAACGAGTGCTAAAGCTAATCACTGAAGCAAAAGACGCTAAACACATAAAGGTTGCTCAAGAATTCACACATCAAGTCTCACGGCTTCTTGCGAAATTGTTCGCCTCCTTTTTGACTCGCAAGCTTCTCTGAATTTGTTTATGCCATACGCTTCATGGCATGGCATTTAAGGATTTTTGTGGACAGAGTTTATCTGTGCAAGTAGGGAGCAAAAACAAGATGCGTAAGAAGCATTATTATCCTAACTATGCCCAAAGTGCACATTCTGAAATAGTCTTGCCTATTTGACAATGCTAAAACCGCATATTCAGAAACCACCCTGCCTATTTGACTATGCGGTTTTCTCATACAGCCTCTCGTTCTGATACTAAAAAAGCTAATAAAACAATGCTAAAACCGCATATTCAGAAACCGCCCTCCCTTTTTGACTATGCCAAACCGCATATTCAGAAACCGCCCTCCCTTTTTGACTATGCTAAAACCGCATATTCGACGCTTCTTATGCATCTTGCACTCCGTCACATCTTTTAAAGATGAACTTAAAAGCTTGTTTAAGTCTCCATCGCAGTAGGCTTTGAAGCCTCTTTCACTTCAATAGCCACCTCTACCTTCTTCACGACTTCATTCATGAGCTCTTTCATGGTCGTCTTGTCGGTCTTGGCACACTCGTCGGTAGCACTTACACTGAAAAGTTCTTGTGCACGGTCGATTTGATGGTCAATGATGTCTCTGACTTGAAGAAGTAGCTCAACTTCAGCCGTAAAATCTACCATCTTGTTCAGCTTTGTCGGATTGTTGGCTTTGTCATGAACCAAGAAGTGGTGAAGCTTTTTTAAAGCTTCCAAGTTCATGTTTCGCAACGACGAGACAAATGGCAAAGATGTAGCCGAGGCAATCTGCTTCACATACTTCAACGCGTTGACAAACTGATTGTCGTCCTTTAACACGTGTGTGTTCTTCGCCTTCGCCTTCAAGTGGTTCTTCTTGACTTCACGAGAAGCCATTGTTTTGAAGATGGAGCAACGGAAACCTAAAGCCTATAAGCCGAAATGCTGTAGTGACAAAGAGTCAAGCTTCAATGCTTTCTCAAGCGTTGCAAATGCAAAGACTGACTGAAACAGAAGACGCAAGCTGATAAGCGAGGCGGTCACGCCTTCTTCAAGATGATGTCATTGATGTTGTCGTTGTTGTTATTCTTGGGTTTTGGGCTTAGGGGTTTCGGCTGAGGAATAGCGGGGATTTATGGGGGAAGGTGTTTTTCTTAGGTTTTGGGCTTGGGGTTTTGGGCTTGGGTTTTTGGGCTTGGGATTTACGGGTTGATATTTGGGCGAATGAGTATAACGGGGTTTTGGGAATATGGTTTTACGGGGATTTGGGCTAAGATTTACGGGTTGGGGTTTGGGCTTGAGATTTTTGGCTTGATATTTGGGCTTGGGGTTTGGGCTTGGGATTTTTGGCTCAGATTTTGGGCTTGGGGTTTGGGCTTGGGATTTTTGGCTTGATATTTGGCTGTCGGGCTGGCCGACGGGTTACTTAGCGGACTGGGGCGTGGTGTCTGCTATCTAAGGCCCGCTTGGCCCAAACTATCACTGCGCCTTTTGTCCCACGAACGGGGTGCAGGCACCTCCCGGTCTCCGGCTCCATTCCGCTGCCCACTCGGCCCCGGGCCACGATTCAACAACGACAACGTGTTGCACCAGCCCGTGCCAAGGTATGCTCCGTGATCCCCTGGTGTCGCAGCAGATATGGCAGGTCACCCAGACCTCCCTCGAAGCCACCAACCACAACGAGGTGACTAACATCGATGCCGCCCTCCTCCACAACTGGCAGCAGAACTCAAGAACGAGAAAGCACCAAGCTCAGAATGCAGAACGAGCCCCACACCCGGCTGTTGCAGATACTGCCCTTCTCATTCGTCAACTTTGGGCTCTCCGCGAGCTCATCCATGTTGAGTCTAGACCTGTTGCACAGCCTCAGCACCAGGAGGCCCCCGGCCTTGCACAACTCTGGACAGGCTGGAGGCGCATTTGTGCCCTCCAACAACTTCAACGGGAACTCCGACGCCGAGGCAGACACAAAAAGATTCATATGGTGGAACAGGCAGTCAAAGCTGACAATGTCTACCAGGCTGCCAAGCAGTTCGCTCCCAAGACGGCCAGACGCAGGCTTCAACTCAGAACTGAGCAGGGACATCTACAAACTGCTGCTGAAGAGTTCAGGACAATCAAGCACTACTACGAGACCCTCTACGCAGGCCCGGCCCCATCTCAGGACGTTCTTGGAGCCACTCTTGATTTTCAACTGGAGGAAGTTCTCTTTGCCATCAAAAACCTCGCCCCGGGGAAGGCTATGCCATCATACTCTGCGCCAGCAGCCCTGTGGAATCAACTACATATTGAGCTTGCCCCGCAGGTTCTCTACCAGCTGAACTATGTCTTCAAGCCAGGCCCCCTCACCCTACCAGCGGAGTGGTGCATCAGTGAACTCGTACTTCTACCGAAGCCTGGAAAGGCTTTGACTTCGCCATCGCATCTCCGTCCCATCGCCCTCCTTCCGCCCATCGCAAAGGTCCCCGCCTCAGTGCTGGCAATGCGCATTCAGCACTTTCCGGCTGCATACCTGGCAAATACGCCTCAGTTCGCCTATCTCCGCGGACGATCTCTCCAGCAGGCTCTCGAGCGTGTGATCTCACATTGTGCTGCGGCCCGAGCCTTGATTGCCCAACAGGCGGTCAATCCACACACCCGCAGGTCGGGTCGGGAAGTCTTACAGATTGCTGGAGGGCTCCAGCTCTCGTTGGATGTCTCCCAGGCATATGATGGCGTGAGCAGAAGTGACCTCCGTGCTGCACTCGAAGAGGCACAGATTCCGGAGGCATTGATCACCTCCATCCTTGCCATTCATAACCAGGCGATCTTGCGCATCTCCCATGACCAGTACACTGACGATATTCGGCTGCTTACAGGACTGAGGCAGGGCTGCAGCTTGTCACCAATACTTTGGTCCATCTATACAGGATGGCTGCTTCGCCGCCTTGATGCAACTGGACTTGTCCCTGTCTCCCAGGCAGGAACGGTGTTTGCTGATGATGCCCATTTCTCTTGGCTCATCAAATCCGGCAGTCAGCTCGAGGCCGCGTACTCGGGAGTTCGCGCCGTCCTCAACCACCTCCACACCTACAATTTGAAGGTGAGCCTGGACAAAACCGTGATCCTCGTTGAACTGCGTGGTGCCAAGGCAGCAAACCTCCTGAAGAAGTACGTGGTCCACAAGGAGACCGGACCCCACATGAGATTCAAAGTCATGGGGCAGCTCATGGACATCAAGATTGTCTCCAAACATGTGTACTTAGGAGTCTGCATCTCGTATCGACGTTTTGAACAAGAGACGTTGCAGAGAAGGCTGGCCCTAGCTAAAGCTCAGTTCGCGAGACTCAAGTCTATCCTCAAATGTCAGGCAGTGGCACTGGCCTTACGAATGCAACTGTGGCAGGCTTGTGTACCTCCTTGCCTCCAACATGGCCTAGATTGCACTAGCCTCCCTCCGACCGAGATGAAGGCAGTTCGCACCCTCCTCATTGTCCAAGCTCGTACCGTGGCAAGATCGCACAGCATGATGACCCATGAATCCAATCAGGACTTCATCGCACGTATGGGCCTGAAGGACCCGGTGGCCCATCTGGTCAAGTCCCTAGCACGACGAGAGGACTCTGATGCTCTCTTGGGAACCTGGTTGCAGCCCACTCAGGCTCAACTCCAATGGCGACACATCCTGAGAGCGCACCTGACAGAAGCCCAGCAGCCTGTTCACCTTCCTCTAACTATGAGCTCTAGATTGGTGCCTGTCGACTGTGTTGTCCACGAGACTTTTGAGTGCGACACTTGTGGCCAACAGTTCAGCACGGCTGCTGCGCTGAAGCGTCATGGTTTCCTCATGCACATGGATGAGCAAGAACAGGCAGAGAGGCGAGTCACCCTGAAAGCTCATGCCCAACAGGCTAGCATGGAGCACTCCAAGGAAGGACTCCCGTGGTGCCGTCATTGTCTCAAAAAGTTCCATTATTGGCCCAATTTTGACTATCACGTGAATGCTCGTGGGTGTCCTGGACTCAGAGAACTGTATGATCAACCACAGCCAGGTCATTCGCTTGCTCGGCTCTCTGAAGCATTACTCGAAAGGGAACACATTCTTGAGTTCGCGAAGAGGTGCACTTGGCTTGAAATGGCTGCTCATCCAGATGTCATTGCTAACACTCAGCATTGTCCAGAATGTCACCATTGGGTAGCCTCCCTCCCCCCAGTACTTGAAGAGACATATGATTGCCAAACATCCGGTCCGGAACAACAGAAGCTCATCAATGCCTGTACTGATTTTGTCAAAGCTAGCAACATTGGGCTCAGCAGTCCGTGCCGCTACTGCCTTCAACCCTTTCAGCGTCGAGACGCTCATCTGCGATCCTGTGCAGGCCTTTTCTGTGGCGCCTACGCCTACTCGCGAATAGCTCGAGGCAAGCCGTTACCTTTTGCCCCGACTCATGACGGCGCAGGGTCTTCGAGGGCAGCTTGCGGAGGCGACTGAGGAGCTCCAGCTCATAGAGTCCCTAGTTCCGGACGGCAGCAAGGGCTTTCGGAAATCGGCCCAGACGAGGCGAATGGACCTCGACGACCCCCTGGCGGAGATGGAGACTCCAGAGGAGGACAAGGACAAGGATCACCCGGCGAAATGGCGACGCCCGGACAACAAAGGGCAGGGAGGCCGAGGAAAAGGCTACAACAACAGCCAGCAGGCCGAGACCTACGAGCCCTATTGGGACGAAGGCTGGGGCCCACAGTGGGGCCACTCGAGGCAGGAGTCGAGCAGAGCCGATGCCCAACTCAAGGAACTCCAGGGCCTCCGACACCGGGTCGACCTCCTGACCAGCCTTGTCTTGAGGCACGACAATGCTCTGAACATAGTAGCCCAGGACCAGACATACATGATCTTCGTCCGCACGGACATCCCAGGCAACCTTGCATCGATCCTCTACGAGGCAGGGAAGGCATGGAACGAGGTCAAGGCCTCCAATCCGGAAAAGCTCGATGCCCCCATGCGAGTGATTCTCTTTCAAAAGCTCCTGGTCACAGTCATGGCTCGCCTGGACAGCATCCTGAGCTCGGAGGACAAGTTGAAGCAGGCCAAGAACCTGCAGTGGATCACGGAGGATGTAGTATCACTCAATGCGATGAGGTGGGACCCAGAGCGCAACAGGCATGTGGTGAACAAGGAGCTACCCACGGTGGAAATCGAGAAGGCCAAGAGCACACTCGAGGAGATGATCATCCTGGGACGGCACCCTCGTTCGATCAACAGGTTTCATGCCACGAGGACCATGACGAAGACATACACTTCACCCACCCTGACGTTCAAGCTGGACCTAGGACTCCGCACCACCGAGGCGGGCCAGATGTGGGCATACATGAACCAGCTGGCTCACTCAGCCTTGTGGGTAACCGCGGGAGCCTATGCCAGGCACACTCGCCTGCAACGAGATCCACTGGCACAGAAGGTGGCCCAAACGCAGAAGCAGCCCCAACGCCGAGGTGGCAAGCACAGAAGGTACTGAAGCTCAACATCCTGAATCGAGGCAACTTCTGCTATGCTAACTCCTTGGTGAAATGTCTCCTCATGCTGGGATGTCACCATTGCGGGCAAGAAGGGCCGAGGCTGATTCCTGAGCCGTTGTATGGCATTCTGAGAGGGTTTTTGAATGCCAGAAAACCGTTTGCTCTCTGGGATAACCCCTTCTGGAGAACCCTCGTTCGTGAATGGAGGAGCCCTAACCTTCAACATGATGCTGCTGACTTTCTCATGTTCCTAGGACGGTGTTGCCCGGAGCTGCATAGAGGTCTTGGAGTCAGTTGGGCAGCTAGGACTCAAGAGGCCTCTCACGACGTAGATGAAGGCTGGTCGCTTCCGCTCAGCATCAGCCCCACGGGGGCGATCCTGTGGGGTGCTGAAAGTGTCAGTGTTCAAGATTTGATTGATGGTTGGGCCCATCAAGCTGAAGCGCATGCCTTAAAAGTAGCAGCTGAAGTGATTGTGATTCAAGCTGGGCGTTTTTGCTCCATGCCAGGCCAGCCGGTTCAAAAGCTTAAACATTTTGTTATCCCTAGTCATGAGATCGTCATGCCTGTTTTTCAACAAGGTCTGGAAACAGCTGGAGTGCGCTACGCTTTGAGCTCGATTTTGATACATCGGGGGGAATCTCCCAGCACGGGCCATTATCAGGCCTTGCTCCTCGATGGACAAAGCTTTTACTTAGCTGATGACGCCCAGGAAGCTCGCCTTTGCAATCCTAGTGATGTTGATGGCACTTGTCGTGATTCTTACATCTTTTTCTACACTTGTTGCAATACTGAACATAGGGAGATGCTTCGCTTTGGGTGCTAGCACCGGGAGCACTCTCCGGCGCTTAGTGGCCGAGGAAACGGGTTGCCCGTTGAATCCGAGACAGACGTCTCGTCCTCGACGACGCTCGCAAAGATCGTCTTTGCAGTGGGGAAGAAGAAGAAGTATGTATGTATGTATGTATGTATGTATGTATGTATGTATGTATGTATGTATGTATGTATGTATAGGAGCGTGTCCTCCGGACTCCAAGCTCGCGGAAGTATGTATGTATGTATGTATGTATGTATGTATTTATGTAGTCATGCATGCTTGCATGTATGCATGTATATATATATAAAGAATATGTGTGAATATACATATATAGATACATGCATGCATGCATGCATGCATGCAACTGACTATACTGTTAACAGCGCACAGACCTACAAATTCTGTCTAACCTAAGCATATGAACATGCTCATTCAGTTGTGTGTTCATCTTTTAGAAGCTGCACACCGGAGCACAGCCTGTTGGGTTCGTTTTGCCTACCCGTGGCATCGATGCCTGTTTTTTTTTTCAACTTTGTGTTAGGTGCTAATCGTGAAAACCCGACACTCCACGCCTGAGGCCTGCCCTCAAGACAAAAGGCGCTCAGGTGAGGCCACTCCTCCCTAGACCGGCTCCAGGCTCGTCGAGTTCGCAGGTCTTCCCAGAAAATTCCCTGAGCCCAACGTCCCAGCATTTCTCATAGAGACGTGACAAGTGGAAACACATACACACCGCAGCACCTGGACCCCAAAAGTATGCAGCATAATGGCCTTTATCATTTCCCCTAATTTTGGGGTTTAGGTATGGGCAGCATTCGAGTCTCCCGTGGTCCCGAAATCTGAGCCTGAACCGTCTTTTCGCAGCACCGAACAAGAACACCAGCTGAGCATTCCGAGTTGTCTCAGCAAAAGTGCTGAAATGATAAGTCGCATCTTTGGCGTCGATCAGTCACCTGATCTGAAGGACACCTTCCACTGGATACGGTTCAGGAATCCGAGATGGCATGGGCAGGTGCAGGCCTTATGCTTTACGTATGGCCAGACATGAGGTTGGGGATTAGGGTTTAAGTTTGAAGGGGCTGAAGCAATTGAGGTGGTAGATGTTCATGTGGACAAAGTATAAACACCATGCTGAAGCTTCCAGAACAAAAGCTGCGATCTAGTGAACCCCACAACTCCAATCCTGAAGCCGGAAGCTTATACCCCCTAAACCACGACCTATGGAGATGGCGAATGAACCCCACGAAAGTAGGGGCAACTCACAAACCTTAACGCTATTCGACAGAATCTGCGGGATTCCTTCGTTTGCCGGCTGAAATGCGCCGATCTCCGGTGCAACTGGCAAAACTGCGCCACGGCCACGACCCAAACTCTCCCGAGCAATCAAAACTGTGAGTACCTGTAACGGTACCGGCGGAATCAGACCATGAACTACTGCAGTCGTAGTAGCAGTAGCAGTAGCAGTAGCAGTAGCAGTAGCAGTAGCAGTAGCAGTAGCAGTAGCAGCAGCAGTAGCAGCAGCAGTAGCAGTAGGAGGAGTAGTAGGAGGAGGAGGAGTAGCAGTAGCAGCTGCAGCAGCAGCAGCAGCAGCAGTGGAAGGGGTAGTTAGTATTAAATTAAGTGCGGTCATAAGCACCCTTACTGTAAGTTGTGGCAAATGAAGATATCTTCAGTATAACTTCGAATATATCACTGGAGGAGGTGAAGCAAACAAACAACTCTCCAACTGGCTTCTCCTGAATGTCAGCGCTCGCCTAAACCCTCAACCGTAAACCTCGGTTCGCGACTCGTGGCATGCCCCGATCCGAGTTGTACTCGGTACTGATGAACGCAGCATTCCTCCAAGCGAACTGCAGAAGTCCAAGATGGCTCACTTTAATCTTCTAACCCTGAGACCAAGATGGTTCATCCATTTCCAAAGCAACTTACGGGTACCCTAAACCCCGCCTGAGTATGCAGCTAAAATCTGCTAAAATTGAGTTTATGTCTGGTGGCGGCCGAACATTCTGACGGAGAAACAAACAATGGATGTTCGGATTTCGGGCTCCGCATCTATGGACGATGGGCCATCTACCAACAAGTACTGGTTGATGCCCCTCCCAGGATCCGTGCTTGGCTGAACGATCGATATCCTTCGATGCTGAGCTGAGCAAGACTTTAAACCTTTGGGGTCTTGAAGCTTCGAAATGATACGGTGATCAGAGTACTCATGACTGTGCATGGTTTTACACCACGCAGACTCCTTACAAGATAGATCCTTTTATGGTGCCTAATGATCAAATCTCAAACTGTAATAAGAATCCTAACTGCGACCCTCGTCCACAACCACTCCCATCTGCGTTCGTTCACCGTGGTCAAGAGACCGTTGAGCTTGACATGGATGTGCACTCACTCCAAGCGCGGTTGTGAGGGAAGAGGTGCTGCGGATCTTGCAAAGATGTCATATTCGGTGAAGGGTTCCTTTTGATTCGGGGATCTAGGCAGGATGTGTGTCAGGTGGGCCTAACTGTTGGCTTATTCAAACCGTTTCTCTCACTGTCGCTCTCTTTTCGTTCCTCCCTCTCTCTCTCTCTCCCTCTCTCTCGCTCTTACACGCATCCTCATGTAAGACTCACGTATAAACTGATAGAAAGCTACATTGGTGTTCTAAAAGGCTTTTGGCATTCGGGATTTCTGCACGGGACAGGGTTAGGGTTTGGGTTTAGGGGTTTAGGGGTTTAGGGTTTAGGGGTTTAGGGTTTGGGCTTAGGGTTAGGTTAGGAATTGGGGACGTGGAGCGATCTTTGCATCATCTTTACCTTGTTTTTGATCTCATTGACTAGGCCGACGAGGCGTACCTGACGAACGGTTCGGAGTTCTTCGGAGTACGGTGGGTTGAAACGAACCGCCGACAACAAGCAACCACTTCCCCTGAACAAAAACACTCGGGCTTGTGATTCAGCGGCTTCCCCACTCTGAATTCGGTCATTCATCCAGCTTGGCGTCTCTGGCCGTGCTGCCAAGCCGAAACATTACATGGTAGTCTAGGTTTGCTGCCACGGGCACAGGTGGCCCGGCTAGTATTGATACGGGCATGAAGTGGGAATTAAGAGTGAGAGAACATTGCGACGTCCATCGGTCTCTGCTGGACACTGTGTCCTGCGCAAGCTCTGTGGTTTAGATTTAGGGTTTAGGGTGTTCCAACATTTCAAGCGCCTGCTGCTTGGCTTTTGCTACCACAGCGCAGACACGAAGTACAACTATACTCACAGCTGCTACTGCAACTGCTGCTTCTACGCGCTGCTGACAATATGTGGTAGTATACCTGGTAGTACTACTGCACTTGCTACTATACTTGCTATTACGGCCACTACTTCTACGACTGCTGCTGCTGCTGCTGCTGCTGCTTGTACTGCTACTGTTACGACGACGACTATAGTACTGCTACGATTCCTACTGCAATTGCTGCTGCAACAGCACCACCCCTACGGCAGCCGGTTCTTTGGTGGTCGAAGCGACTTCATGGTGAAAGGTCTACGGTTCGGGATGACATATGGCACATTGGATCTAGCACTTTTGATTTAGCTACTGTACTTTGAGCAGACTAGCGACAGAAATTTGCCATCTGCACTTGCTCCTCGTAACAGTGACGTGGCTACTACAAGCCGTCCTAAGCGGTCGATTTGTCTACGAAATGGTCACAGCCTACATGCACTGTCTTGATGGCCTGAAGAGGATAACAGTACCAGAAGAAGCAAACGCCCCGGATCGAGGCCCTGCAGGCTCAAGAAAGCGAGAGGGCCGAATTTGGCCACAGGTCGCCTGCTACTTCTGCTAGGTTCTAGCGGAAGAGCCACGCATCCTGCACGGCGGGCAGACAGCGCAGCGGGGCAGCAGAGAGGGTCTTCGAAATCATCAATTATGATTATATTTGGACCCTCATACTACCAAAGTTCACAGCCATGACGGTAGCAAAATTCACGGGCTTTGTAGTTTCTTGCTTTGATCAAGCGCTTCCCTCTGCAATTGAGTCTTCCCCTGAGATTAGATTACTAGATGATTTTATCTATTTTATCTGGAATGCACACCAAGAGGAGTTTAAGACGGCCAAGACTACAGTACAGGTGGGAATTATCAGGGAGACACCAGGATTCGCCCAGGTGTATAGGGTTGGGGACCTATAACAGAACAACTGCTTCATCTGTA